TCATCAAGTCATTCAAATCTTTGGTAAGTTATTGTCAAACATAAGTATCTTCTTTCATCTTAATATGAGAAACTCCTTCTTACATGGTTTTTATTCCATGATCACACCTTAGAAGCTTCATAAACTCGAGATCCTCAACAAAGGTGTGCTAAGACCAAAAATCCTTCCCACTTCTTCTTCAAAAACCAAAACATCAAGCAAAGGTGAGTTCATACCCCCTTGTTTTCGGTTTTCATATGATTTTTGGGGGAGAATGCAAGTAAAATGTGTAGATCTATGTGTTATATGCATGTTTTGTGTGAATTCTTGGTTTATTTGGAAATAATGTGTTAGATCTTAGCAAATCTCGAAATTTTAAGTATTATTTAGCAAATATCTATGAACTATGACATTATATACATTACATTATCAAGCCAAAAGTGATTACATGTTTAAGATACAAAAGATTTCAACAAAAACCTTGTTAAAGGTCAAAATTGTCAAGAAAGAAAACAAAAGATAAGGGCAAAAAGTGACATTTATATTTTTATAAGGGCCAAACAGGTCCTACATGTATAAAAAGGTATCTTTATGCTAAACATACTTTAAAAAGGGCCAAAAATGCAAATTTAAGCTTAATGGGCCAAAACTTTTGGGCCTCACGGTTTTGCGCCCAATTTGCGAAAAAAATGAAGTTTTGGGGTTAAAAATGTTATTTGGCCAAAGTTTGAGTCATCAATGTAAATAAACCAAATTTAGGGGTGAAAATAACATTTATTTTCAAATTGGACAAAAAATGTAAAATTTTCCAAAATTGGGCCGAAAGTGTAAATTTTACAAACAAGGGCTGAAAAAATGCACTTTTCTGCAAAACAGGGTTCTAAATGTGAAAATATAACTTTTTGGGCTAAAACCGTAAATTTTTAGACATTTGGGACAAAATTGCAAATTTTTATAAATTATGGAGTAAAGTGTCATTTTTACAAAACTTTGGGCCTTAATTAAAAATTGGAGGATTATTGGCCAAAAACGTCGTTTTTACAAAAAGAGGATTTTTATCATGAATCTATTAAACCCCGAGCTAAAACGAACAACAGAATAATACAAACGAACGGAATACGTCGATAACTATTTATTGGGCCTAATATACACGTTACTTGGCCATTGGACCCTAAGGGCCCAATTAAGTGTATATTGAGCCCAATGTTTTCCATGATGTGTTTATTGGGTCTTGCGACCCACTTACATGTTAATTTGGGCCTAAGTCATGGATTACATGTTATTGGGCTTTTGTGGCCCATTTACATGTCTATTGGGCCTAAATTACCCTCTTATATGTTATTGGGCATTTGTGGTCTAATTACATGCTAATAGGGCTTGGAATGGAAATTTCACATGTTAGTAGGCCGTAACTATACCTTTGCGAAATCATTAAACGTCGTATACTTATATATATATATATATATATATATATATATATATATATATATATATATATATATATATACCTTTTGAATACAAAAACATACCACATATACGTAAACATTAAACATAGTACAAAAAGGGGTTGAGAATCTAGTGAGACATGTCGGTTGGTACCTCTGAGTGTACAATCGTAGCATGTAGTTATAATCAAAGTTTCCTGGTAGGAAAGCGGGAGTTGTGTATAGATCTATACGGGGTGACCCCCCACTCGTTAGCTGTTCGCTACAGCTAGACTAGGCCAGTCTAGGGCGACAAAATCCTTAGCAAGACCGGAATTTGGAAAAATACCAAGACGGGCGACCTAGTCATTATCATGCATGGTTATAACGGCTCATAAATACAATGAATCAAGAATCTAGACGTTGTTATAAAACAGAAAATATCGAATTTTCTGGGAAAATTATTCATATACACTTATCATTTATTCAAAATACAATGAATCTAAACTACACTCATACAAGTTTAGCTATGAAATTCACACAAGCATTTATACTTGATTTTCACATCATTTTCAGACATTTTACAGAAAATATCGGATTTTCTGGGTTTTTATGAAAGATACAAAGACTTTTACTCAAACATACTTATGAACTCACCAACATTATATATGTTGATCGTTTTCAAAAAAAACTTGTATTCTCGGGTAATCGTTAACCTGGAAGATATGCAAGTGTGTATGGTTTTGTTTTATGTAACATCACTTATAGTACTTTTAACAATTTGAACTTATGTATTTTAACAATGTACTTGATGTGAACAATGTTGTTGTAATATGTAATGTTGGTGATGAATGTGTTATGTTTCATGTATATTCATTGTGATGATTATTCAATTGTTAGTCACATGAGCCCCCGGACGTTTCCGCCGTCTGGGCCGGGGTGTGACACTGTCTGTTGAGCCTCCTTCGCTCAGGTTGTAGTAACTTCTGTCTCCGTTGTATGGCATGGGTTGACCCTGCTCTTGACTCCATGTTTCCAAGATTTCCGCCCACAGAGGCGTTGGGCCTTGAAAAGCCGGACGAGGGTTAGGATTTTGGGCAACTGGTGGTGGATTATAGGCTTCTGATTCGGAATCATTGTCTTCAGGAAAATTTTCTGCGAAAGCATCATCTAAGGGAATTTCATGATTTTCTTCTGGCTCTGCATCTTGTCCTTGGCCGGGGAAGTACGGGTCTCCGGGTAAGTGAAATCGTGCCATTGTTATCTAAGCGAGAATAGGGATAAGAGATATAGAATATAGTTAGTAACGATAGATTAAGGATACAAGTTTCTACGAGAGAGACTTACAGTTAACAAGCAATGTATTATTTATGATTTCTTCTAGGTATTACTATAACTATAAAGTGTATACTAATTATATATAACTTGGGTATAACTGACCTTCGATTAAATGACCCGGCTCTAAATCCACAACCAAACAAGGAACAGGAAATGAAGCTAAATCACTTATTCTAAGTCTATATAACTTTAATTATATATAACTGTAATATACCTTTAATATTTATAGTTCTACCCTCAATTGTTCTATTGTTTGTTATTAGTATATAGTACCTAAAATACCCATATAGTATTTTAATCTTTATGTTCTGTTCTAGAGTTCTTCTGGATATGTATGGTTGGTAAGTTTTAGACATGTCGCAACACCACTATCACTCCCAAACACATGTTGGTCATATCTCAAATCAATATAGTTGATCAGGCTATATTAATCCCAGATATGATTACATAACTGCCCAGGTTTGACTGTAATGTCCAACATCCAAATACTTTTTTAGTTTTATGACTGTGATAATGTACTTGTAGGTATGAGTGTTAGTATACTTCTTGTAAAAATACTTAAATTTTTAAAAAGTATACTTGTAGTCAGAGCTCTCAGCCCCAAATGTATTTATAGTTTGTATATCTTTTATGGATTGATATACTGAGTTCACTATAAACAATGCTCTGATACCAATCTGTCACACCCCCAAACCAGACGGCGGAAACGTCCGGGGGGTGGAGGACTTCATTTGTAGTATCACAACACATGCATTATAGTAATCAGAGTACAAAGAACAGTGTATTTAAAAAGTATAAGTATTTACATATGTTTCATCATTGTATACTGAAACCCAATAGTTATACAAAATAATAAGACAAGACATAAATAGCTCCATCTTCTCAAAAGCACGGGGAGTACCTGACTACTGGTTCCTTGAGAATACAAGTAATTTGAAAAGAGAGTATCAACATAAAGTTGAGTGAGTGCATAAGTATTTATGTTTGAAAGAATGTTTTCTGTTTCTTGAATATGTAAACTGTTCCAGAAAATCCTATATTTTCTATTGTATATGAAAAGTAGTTTTAGTTACATAAAACCGTTCTATTTGTAAACCAATGTTCTGTATTTGTAATCTTTTTGTAAACTTGTATCTGAGAGTGTACCTGGTTTCATCAACTGTTATTGTAAACTGTAATGTAATACTGTAAATTGTATCTTGTAAACTAGTACTTTGAAAATGTACTTAAGTTTAGTTAATTATACACTAACATATTGTTAATATCTTTTATAGGAGTTATTATAACACTACAACAAAATGAAGCTAATTCAACCCCGCTAAAAAGTTGCATTAGGCCTTTAAAAAGTTGCATAATGCCTAAAGCAACCTTTTACCAGAGGTTGCATTAGGTAAAGTTGCATTAGATCTAAAGCAACTTTTTTCATAAAAAGTGTAACCCTTTCTGAAATAGTTGCAAATCTTTTTTTGATGCAACTTTTTTTAATGCAACTTTTTTATGTTCATATGCAACTTTTTTACACTTAGATGCAACTCTTTTTAACTATTTTAGTTATGAAAATGCAATTTTTTTTATAATCAATTACAATCTTTATTATGTTTCTAGTAAAGAATAGCAACCTTTCTCTATAGTATATGCAACCTTTGTTACATATTTAATTGCATAGAATGCAACCATGTTTACAATCAAATGCAACTTTATTTTTGTGACTTTTTTAACGTCAATGCGACATCTTTTTTCCTAGTTATGTAGACGCTACATATGTTTACTATATTGCTACAAATATTCAATACTACTAAAACTTCACCATAACAATAATAACAAAAATATCTTATACAAATTTATGGTCTAATTTGACATGTCTAAATTCAAAATAACAACCATTGTCTCATTTGACATGTCTAAATTCAAAATAACAATCATAAATCAAATACAAAACAAAGTTGTCAACTATAATCACAAAAAAAGGTATTAAAAACATCCTAGATGTCTACTAAATATAGACGATAAATCATTTTAGCAACTATCGACCTTCTGGAGGTTGTTCCACAAACTTCCACGTCATGGGTTCAAGGTTTTTCTGTTGTTTTTTAATATTTATTCGCATATTTGAATTATTCCATAAGTCATGCCGGAATCATGTATGTGCATCACCACCACCCACTTTTTTTTATCAATCTATTAGCAACGCCTCTACCATAAGGTTGACGATATCCATCATGATCATTGTTCATCACAATCATATAAGGATCTACAGCATCACTTCCATCTTCTAGAGGTTTGTAGTTCTTCATTTGTTCCTACAGGATTATTCAAAAATTAATAGGATAATATTACTAAAAAATATACCATTAAAAAGTTGTTTATATTGTAAAAAAAATTGCATTTCAATGTAGAAAAAAGATTTTTTTTTATTGCGTAAAAGACAACCACTTGATGTCCAAAAATCTGCTATCAAAAAGGTTGTTTTTAATGTAAAAAATAAAAAAATAAATAAAACTTTGCATTTTATCATCTAAAAAACTGCATTTTGACATCTAAAAAACTACATTTTAATGTCTAAAAAACTGCATTTTAACATATAAAAAACTGCAATTTAACATCAAAAAAGGTAGTTTACTATCAAAAGGAAAAACATATTATGAAACTGAAATTCAAACTTATAATTTCCTTTGTCGTGTCATCATACGTATCAACATATACGGCCCATCTGTCATTTTACGTGTAAGTTCAGACGTTTGACTTAGAATGGGGAATTCCTTGTTTGGATCTTCATTTTTCTATTCTCATGGTAACATAGACATCAACAAGAAAGTATAAAACTGTGGGAAAATAAAAACACAATTCCCAAGCAAAATGAAAACATTACCATCTCGTTACAAATTCTAGTAAAATTTTTTAGACCTGTCATATGCATATTTTTTAGAGACTTGCGTATTTCCTTTACCGGTGAAAAACGTTTCTACATATACATCAATATATATAGCTCAACTGACTAAACACACCAATTAATTTTATATTATAGCAGTGCACTAAAATTATAGCCATGTACTTTTTTATCGTACAAGGAGTATGATACTATAATGAGCATAAGTTGGTTTACTTTGCTTTTCTGGGTTTTTAAAAATAATTGTATAAGTACACTATTATTTCTTGTGTTTTAGCTATTTATTACTAGAGTTTTTTAACCGGTGGTTCAAATGACTCAAACTTATTCCATTTTGCACACAATTAGTCTTGAATAGAGGTATTATTAAGACATATTTTGAGTACTTAATGAAAAGTCCAAAAATATGACACAACAAGGTTGTAAATACGATTCTTTTACTCACTCATCAATCCAACACACATATCTTCTTCTACCATTTGAGAGCTCAATAGGCTACACATTAAGACATATGGAATGACATTTAACCAAGACATAAATGTCTTAATAGGGCTCTTGAGTCATGAATTAAGTAATTAATTAAGAGGTTCAAGAATGGTTTAATATAGATAAAAACTATGCGAATAAAAAATACATGAATTCATAGTATAAGTATACTCTTGCATTCGAACCCCATTAACCCATTAACAAAACACACATGGTGTTGGAATAGGGATAAACACAGCCACACAACAAGGTGGTCGTGTGATGGCAGAATCCGGCAGCCATGGCTGCCGGTGGCGCCGACGGAAATTGAACAAATAAAGAAGAAAAACACCACACAAGCTAGGAAAACTTACCAATAATATCGAATGACATGAATACACCACCAAATCGCTGCCCTTGGAGGCTTTGACGGAGTCCTAGACGAACAAAGAGTCGCCAAAATTGCCACCCTCGCCGAAAAAAACGCCACAGCCGACACCCTTCACCCTCACCCAATCGATTATCTCTCCCTGTCTCACGAACGCATAAGTAGAAACCCTCAAAAAATGATGCGTTCATTTTTTTAGGGCTAGAGTAGGCGTACGTAACCCATGAAAAAGGAGCAATAGAGATCGAGAGTTTCTCCTGCCGCTTGAATTCATAAACGATATTTCCGTTTTAGCCCCTTTATTAGACATATCGACGCATTAGACCCCCTTTTCTAAAAACATTTCATGCAATACGCTCAGAAAGACTAATTGGCCCCTAGACTTTATTATTTTTAATGATTTACTTTATTTTCCCACAAAAACCATTTTATTAAATAATATATTCTTTTAAATATTGATTAATTCCTTTAGATATTATTTAAAATCACTTTTATTTAATTTATTTTGATTTATAACCTTAAAACCGAAACTATTTAAAAAAAATAAATATTCAAATAACGAAAACTTACGCTACCGACGGACGAAAATCTAGGTTGTTACAAAATGTGCACAATTACAATTTTATTGAAAAAAAAATTTATTTTGATAGCATAAAGAGGAAAATAAAAATTTCTAATATATTTGGAGGGAAATTAAAAAAATATTGAGTGAAATAAAATTAACAATGTAACTTTTGTAATAAAAGTTGCAATTTTTAATAAGATTTGCAACTTTTTTTAAAAAGTTGCAATTTTCAATAAAATTTGTAACTTTTTTAAAACAAGTTACAATTTTCAATAAAATCTGCAACCTTTTAAAAGCAAAGTTGTAAATTTTAATAAAATTTGTAACTTTTTTAAATAAAGTTGCATTGAATCTTCTAGTGCAACCTTTTTGTTCATCGAGACTTTCTGTATAATCAAATGCAACATTTATGAAAAGGTTGCATCTAAAGGGTCGCATTAGACCCATTTTTTAGTAGTGTAACCATACTGAGTAGATGGCCTGACCCAATGCTATGAATGCGTTGAAAGCTGTTGATAACAACTGTCACTCGTAGGCGTGTATGCCTGACTGTAGCTAGCAGTCCGAGTACGGGGTTGTCAATCCCAATATAGATCTATACACACATTGTTTCGATCCCCGGCTGGAGATTCTGGTTATAATGTCAGGACTTTAACTATATTGTTTAAATGAATTAAACAACTTGTATCAAATGACTCATAAAAAGCATATAAACGTTACATGTATAATAGTTATGAAAACCCAATCATTCTTAAACAAATGATTGCTAGTATGTTCTTGAATTAGTAATCTTAACATGTATCTGAAAGATGTATATCCTTGATTAGTTTTGAATCAAACCTTTGTTCTTGTAAAACAATGTACTTTAGTATACTTGAATCGTTAATTAATGTTATGTGAATCATAAATTATACATATTATAATTTATATGTACTTTCTGAATTGATACTGAGTATTCATGAATGCAACCCCTTGCTCAACATGTTACAAAGGGTAATTGAACTTAATGAACTAACTTTTATACTTGTATACATATACAAATATATATAAGTAAAATTTAAATGACACTCGGACTAATAACTGATTCTTATAATCCCACATCCAAACCAGGAAAAGGAACCAAAGTAGGTTATCAGTCCTAAGCCTTTTAAATCTTACTTATATAAATATATATATATATATATATATATATATATATATATATATATATATATATATACAAGTATGATTTTTGGGAGAAATATAAGTTTATAAAAACATTAAAATAAGTTTAATAATTTGAAATACATTTTGGTGACTTAATGTCATTTTGATACAATCATTGAAAACCATTTGATTTGATGATAACTGAAATCCATTTTGATAAGATATTTGAAACAATTTGTTTATAACACAAAATCTTTGTGTTAGACTTGTATCCCCCCCCCCCCCGCCCTTAAAACAGTAAAAACTATGAAAATACGGGGTATGAACTCACCTGTAGTGAGTGATTCGAGTGAAAGGTCGATATAGGATGCTAAGTGTCAAGTGAAGTCTCGAGCACACACGGATCCTATTAAGCATATAATGACACATATATGGATATAATTAGTGTATATAACAACTAATTATGATAGGAAACCACTTTAGGGACTAGGAAACACTTGAATTGAAGTGTTACAATCACATGTGATTGCATTAAAGGGGTTTACGGACACACAAGGGTGTATACGGCCAACGTGTGTACGGCCTATGTAGTGTACGGCCATGGAGTGTACGGTCGTACACTCATGGAAAGAAGCATGCAAAAAGGGGTGTTTATGGCCCTATATAGCATCCATTAAGTGTTCACGATCTTATGTTGGGATATGAGGTGAGTTTGAGGCCAATACATGCACTAAACAAGGGTTTACGGCCATATGAGGTGTGTACGGCCGTACACCCTTGGTGTTCATGCATTAGATGATGAATCAAGGCTAGGAATCAAGTGTTTCTCAAGCTTAACTAGTAGATAGAAGAGATACTCACACTTTTGAAGGCTTCTAAGGAGTTCACGGCCCAAGAACAAGTAGGTGTTCTTGGTGTTCTTGGTGAAAGTGCAGAAGACTTAAAGATCTATCCAAAAATAGAAGATTTCATGGATGAAAACATGCATCTTCACTAGATAAAGCCATGTATCAACTAATCAATGGAAGGAATACTTACATCTTTGAAGATCAAGGTGAAAAACTTGATGATAGTTGAGAGAGAGTCGGATTTCTTGAGGTGAAAGTGTGAGAAAATGTGAAAGAATGAGGGAAAAGCTTATATATAGGTTTGGGTTCACGGCCACCTTGGGTGTACGGTCGTACACTTATGTGTACGGCCGTACACTCCTCTTGATGGAGTGTTTGGCTGTGACAACCCGAAAAAATTTTAAATTTTTGCCTTGTAAAGCTCAGCCAGTCAACTCAGATGAGTGTCAGACTCATTTCTGCTATTGTTTAGCCTTGTTTAGAGTCCGTTTGAAGGTTCAAAGCTCAGTACATTCAAGCCTCGAGTATAGGATTGGGTCGCGTACACTTCTAGCACCAAAATCGAGCCTTACACTCTAACATAAGGAGTGTACGGCCGCACACATGGGTGTGCGGCCGTACACCCCTCTCCTGGCAGCACACTCACGTGTACAAAGGTGGAACTCAACCTTCTTTCACCCCTTTTCACACTCCCAAGCCTAGAACACGATTTCTCTCTCAACTATCATCCGATTTGCAGCCTAGATCTTCGAGTTTGTACGTGTTCTTCCTTATATTTGTTGTTAATCTTCATAAACTAGTTACATCCTTTGATTTCAACCATTTGAAATCATTTTTTCGCTAGATCTTCAAATCTTCATCCATTTCACCAAGAACACACACTTGTTCTTGATGATTTTGAGCCTTCTTGAGCCTCCAGATCGTAAGTACTCTTTCCCTATGCTTGAATCTTGTTAAGAACACTAGATTAAGTCCTTAGCAATGCCCATAACTCAAGAATATATGGTGTGTGCGGCCGCACACACAGGTGTGGCCGTACACCCCTCAAAACACCCTCAAACACCCTCAAAACACCCCTAAAGGCTTCCATATTGTAAGTACCATCCCCTAAGCTTGTTACTTACTAGATATGAGCCTTAGAAAACGTCCAAACCATGTTTATCAAGGAGTGTGCGGCCGCACACACTCCATGTGGCCGTACACCCCTTTGTTTAGTGCTTAAGGGCCTCCAAAGTGCCTTTCTAGCTTCAACACTTTGTTTAGTGTGCGGCCGCACATACATATTCGTTTGAATCACCCACATAAGGTGAGTTCATACCCCTGTAATCAATCTTTTAAATGATTTTAAATGCTTTTAAGGGGGGAATACAAGTTGAACACAATGATAATTGTGTAATTGTTTGTTATAAACATTTTTAAAGGATTGCTTATGTCATTGATAAGTAGTCAAAACGTTTCAAAAACTCTTTTAAAGTTATGTTACTTTATAGTTTAACAAAAACTCCGTTTTTAAAGTACCAGCATAACTTAGTAGAAAAATGAGTCTTTTCAACAACAGTTCAAGTAAAATACTAGTAAACTATAAGGGGTATAGTTTAGGGGTTCAGTTCATACTAGATGCTAGAGAATACTAAGATACTATAACAAGAGAAGAATACTAAGATACTATAACAACAGAAGATACTAAGATACTATAACAAGAGAAGATACTAAGATACTATAACAAGAGGATACTAAGATACTATAACGAACTTACTAAGACACAAAAATTATAATGTGAGATACTACTTCATTGCGTGGCTTACAGTGCAGAGTCATGTTTTATATCAGAGTCTCCTGGAGGGAGAGCGTGAATTTGTGTATAGATCTATACAGTATTGACCATCCCACACCTTGATGCTAGCTACAGTGGGACCTGCAGGTCTACGGGTGACGAATGTCATATCATTTCGACGTCTCGAACGTCGTGTTATACTAGTCAAATTAAGCATGGTAACAATAATATCACATTTTACCTTAATTAAACTAATAAGTTAAAGGTAAACAGTACTTCAGAATGTCAGTTCATAAGACAACTGAGTACTTATATTTTCCAAATACTTTCATATTGTGACAGTTGATGGGAATATTGACTTATAGAACGATAGATTCTAAACAGAAAAACAAGAATGAAGTAATCAAAGAACACAAGAATGGATCAAATGGTGTCGAATGATTAATAACTCACACCTCAGAAGAGCTCGATGAAGAACTTCGACTGTAGAGGTATGTTTAGGGTTACAATGCAAGAGCTATTAATAAAAACGATAACATGAAAGCTATACATGCATGCATAATATATACGCTAACCCTAAAGATAATCCACGGTTGGACAGGCCCAAACCGGGTAAACAAAATATCATCATTAAGCCCATATGACACAACACTCTGGACCCAACAATCTCCCCCTTTGCGTCAATAAAGGCGAGATACTAGTTCGGTTGAGACAGAGCAGACTTCTTTACTGTCTTGAACACCTTCGGTATAATGGTCAAAAGAGTGTGACGAAATGCTATATACCACCGAAGCATGTCAGATAAGTTCTTCTTATCCGTATCACTGTTCTGTTTACACCTATGAGTTATATCAAGTA